TTTCTTACAATGTATATAAATTACAATTGTCTCGATTTTAAGAGTGAATAAAAAATTCATATCAGTCTTTTACCTTATCAAAAGGGAAATGAGGTTCATCTGGAATAATCTCAGTGAAAACTTGCTGTGCCTAGCAAGGACTTCCTTTATTATGTTTACAGATTGCTTCAAGAACTTTGCCAAGGAGGACTGGCATCTATGATTTGCAGAATCAGAACCAACCTTCTTCCCTTTCGCAAACTGGGACATGTGTACCCAGCTACAGTCATCTGGCGTCTCTCCCTGGCTCCATAGTCCCTGAAAAACTGCCAACAGCCTTCCACATATATAAGTCTATTTGTACCCAGCCGGAATTTGTCCAGCTTGGAGACATAGTCATTCAAAGCCAGCCATTCTCTTACAATACCTACTTATTTTGTGCTTCAATGACTTCTACTGATATTTGTATAAAGAACATTCAACTTCACAAAAGTTGAGCAGGGAAGCCAGTGTTTGGAGGTGGAAGTCAAAATCCAGATTTTGTCATTCTCCGAGAGGTTGATCTTAGGCAAGTTACCATTGTTTGAACTTCAGCTTGCTTACCTGAAGATACGAATAATAATAGCTATTATTTTATTATTATTATTATTAGGTTGTCAGGTTGTAGTAAGATTGCATAAGATCATATTTGTAAGAGCTGGAGCATGAATAAATAGTAACACAAAGCAGATGAAATGAACAGATCTGCTTCCTCATAGATGTAGATTTATGCGATTTCAAGTTGGAAATCCTGGAGAAGTTCACCTGGTCCTACCTCTCACTCAATGAGAGCGTACTCATGAACTGGCTATTCAGCATAAACACCTTCTCTCTGTCACCCATTAGCATCACATCTCTGAACAACATGCCATACTTCATGCTCCATTAAAACCTTTAAAAGGCCTATTCCCTGTGTCAGGTATTTAAACCCTCATATCATTAACCCTTACAACAACCCTAGGATGCAAACTTTTTTTTTTTTTTTTTTTTTTTGGAGACAGAGTCTTACTCTGTTGTCCCAGCTAGAGTGTTGTAGCGTCATCCTAGCTCACAGCAACCTCAAACTCCTGGCAAGCAATCCTTCTTTCCTGCCTCAGCCTCCCGAGTACTGGAACTACATGCATGTGCCCCATGCCCGGCTAATTTTTTCTATATATTTTTTTATTTGCCAATTTAATTTCTTTCTATTTTTAAGTAGAGACGGGGTCTCCACTTTGCTCAGCTGGTTTCAACTCCTTACAGTGAGTGATCCGCTTGCCTTGGTCTCCAGAGTGCTAGGATTACAGGCGTGAGCCACTGTGCCTTGGCCAATGTAAGCATTTTTAATCTCTATTTTTACATCTGTGAAAACTAAGGCTCAGAGACATTAAGTAACTTATCTAAGGCTAAACAGTTAGTAAATGGTATCACCCATGTCTGCCCTGCTTTTTCCTGCAATATCATGCCAACTGAAAAAAAAAAAAGAATTGTTCTTATTTTTCTCAAGCAACTCCTTCTTGGCTTTATCCATTTTGACAGCTGTTCTGAAAGTCTGGTCCACTTTAAGGTGTATCCTTCTGCTGTACCCAATTGTGTCCACTGAAAATTCATACGTTGACGTTCTAACCACCTATTTGATGGCACTCGGAGGTACTTAGCATTAGATGAGGTCTGAGGCAGGACACTCATGATGGACTAGTGCCCTACTAATCACAGACACTAGACAGCTTGCTCCCCCCCACGCCCAGCTCACAAACGAGAGGCCATCTGAGCCACAGCGAGATGATGGCAGCCACCTGCAAGCCAAGAGAAAAGGCCTCAGAATGCAACCTGCCTTGCCAGCACTTTTGGTCTTGGACTCCTAACCTCCATCACTGTAAGAGATAATTTCTGTCATTTAACGCCACCCACCGTATGGCATTTTGTTGTCACAGCCTGAGCAGATTAAGATATCTTTATTGAATCTATACCCTCCTTTTCCCAATGTGGCATTCACATCTGAGCTGCTTAATGAGCTTGCAATTCACGCCTGCTTTTGTCTCCCCTGCTGTCAGTTCTCTGCCTTCCCTGTTGTTCTTTGTATCCTCAGTGTTTGGTCTTTGACATGGTCTTGTTCTCTGGAGACAGCCTCCTATTTCAGCATCTCAGGACCTGCGGTCAGGCCTGTGTTTTTTCCCCTGGATGGTTTTATGTTTGCCTTTACA